GGGCGGGTGGCTGCCCTGCGGCGGGCGGGAGGAAGTGCCTGGCGCAGGCCCCGGGGTGGGCGGTGGCAGGAGGGGGGACAGGAGGTGGCACCGGGGGTGATGCTGCCAGGCGAGCGGCGCTGAGCATGTGGCCCTTTTGCTGTGCTTGTGTTTTCTAGGTGCATCAGAGGCTTTCTCCGTGGCAGAGTGTGCGAGTGGTCTATTGCAGTACGGTAGTGCCCTCCGATGGTGAGTATTGGCATGAGAAAGTCTTGGCTCACTTTGGGCTTCACTGACTTAAATCATATTCCCTGACCCGCTTTTCTGGATGAGGCTTTTCTGGCTAGAAGGTAGTCCAGTTTTGAACTAAGGAAGTGACAGAGAACAAAGTCAGTCAAGAAGAATTAAGGAAATGGTCAACTTTTCTGATAACTATCCTTAGAAAACCGGACAGGCTTTATAAAGAAAGATGTAATTGTGTGCAATTGCGCGAGATTTTTTTTCCAGACTTTCTCTTGATGTCGCCGTGAGGTCTCTGATGCCTAGCTTTCAGGGTACCGTGTGCCCTGTTAACTTTATTTATGTAAGGAAAGTGCAGTTCGTACCAGCTACTTGCTCAGACACTTGAAAGCACCGTTTGCTGCATTGAACAAGTTGTGAAGCCAAGGCAATTTTTGTTCCTTCATTTAAATTCTGGGACAGCTCAGACATTAACCTTTTATAATAAGGTTGTCGTAACATAAAGTAAAAGTACACACTTGTGGAACTTCAAAATCTCAATATGCCAAAATGCAAAGAGGAAATGACCAGCATCTGCATGCTGTGCACAGACTAGGGTGCTTGTGCTGACTGACACCAGCAGTCAGTGGATCCTCTCCCCATCAAGGCTTGTTAATAAAGCCTGACAGCTAACGAAGTGAAGGGATCCGGCACAACTGCTTCCCCTGCCAGGGTACTGGCTGTGTGCAAATATGAAGAGAACACGACTGTTGTGGAGAACACGAAAGAAAAACCTCAAGGCTTAAATAGGTAGAAGTGTAGAGGACAAATGTGAGGTAGAGAGAATAATATGTATTGCTGCTTGCCTCACTTGATTTTTGCCTTTTCTCATATTGTGCTTGAGTATTTCTCTTGTTATTTCGTCCAATAACTTCACCTTTACCAGTAGTAAATGTTTAACGCTGACTTCCTTGGCTGCACCTTTTTTTTTACTGTACCTTATTTTGGCCAAATGTGGTGCTGAAGTTGTTCTTATGCAAGAACAGAAATCTCTGAAAAGTACTAATAACCTGTTACTGATGCACATATGGTTGAGTCAAAACTTTGTGGTGCTCGGATGGGATTTGTATCTCGAAACAACCTCATGCTTAATATAGCATGTAAAGCTTGTAAAATCCTCTGTGGTCTTATGTAGCAGCATACCTGGCCAGGCTGCAGGTGTCTCTGAATGTAACTGAAATACACTTGTATGCAATTACTTTCTCTTACTTGTCCCTTGTATTTAAATACTGGCTTAAAATTTAATCAGTGAAGATTAGCCAAAATGTTAGCTCTGTAATTATTGAAATGCCAAAATGCTTTGTCCTCTTAGGAACTTGCCGTTTCCCTCATGCAGGCAATCCACAGGGCTGTCAGCAGAGGAGAGCAAGGCAGACAGCTATATCAGTGTCGTCTTAATAACTTGTACTGGAGCTGTCTGTTGCTGTCTGTTAGGTTTCTGTTATTGACATGTCCTTTGGATATCTCTTTTTTGTTTGCCTCTGAGCTCTTCCCTCTCCAATGCAGTATAAGTCTGACCAGACATTACTTGTGTGGGAGGTGATGAGAGGATCAAACTGGAATTATGGACTTTCCCTGCTGGTGAATTAGGCTAGAAGATTACTTCTGCAAGCTTTTTGTAAGGCAAACATAAACCAGCTGTAAATCCAGACTTACTGAGCCTGCCTTCTGAAAGGAAATAATTTGGTCTTTACCACCTCACTGAAGCTGGAAATCCTTGAGGAAGTTTTTGCGTATGCTGCCAGTGCTGATGACTCCTGGTGCAGCCTGGCCTATGGCGTTTATCACTGCGGTCTCTGTCTGGTCTGTGGAGGGTTCAAATGCAGCAGTGCTGGTGCTGGTAGGCACTTCCTCCAAAGCTGGCAGTCGTGGAGCTGCGTTGTGTTGTGCTGCTGGGGATACTCAGAAAACTGTTGGTGCAAACGTTCGCTTCTGCTCTCAGAGAAACTGACTCACTGCCTGTATGATCAAGGTAGCATTTTAAATAAAGAATGTTTTTCATGTCTTGTGGTTAAGTGGTACATAATTTAGTTGTATGTGCTGCTCACAGAACCAATGAATTCAATGCTTCAGTGTCTATTTTAAGCTTCTAAACATATTGATCATTCCTTCTGAGCCTGTTATCACAACTGTGGCTAATGCTAATCTATTTCTTACCAGTCTCCTGCTCAAATACTGGAGTGAAAGAATGCAAAAAAATCTGATAGCTGGTGTCATAAGAGTTGCTTATAAGACACTTGAAAGTCTGTCTAACTGTCCAAATAAATTGGCAATATGCTTTATTCTTTTCAGTAAATATCTGACTCTTGTCTCTGAGTTTCAAGCTTCGAAACACTAAAGCTACTAAGATCCTGTCAGGTGTCTGAGTCTTGAGAACAGGCATTTATAGGCTTCCAGATACTGGGGCCTCTTGGGATGCTTTAGTCATTTTAGATGTCCATACTTGGTCATTTCCACCTAGTCTTTAAAGACAACGTGAGGACCTCTTTGTCTGCACCGAATAGTAATCCTCTGGAAGAAGGAGGAAAAAGCCTTTATACGTGTCATGAAGGCATGTGGCAGTAAACTCAAAAGCCCAAGAGAACTTTTCTTACTTTGTAAAAGTATACTTGGTGCATCCTTTCTCAACATCCACAAAGCCTCCCTTTTCAGAAGGTAGGATCTATTTTCAGAATAGATTGGGCGGACCCAATCTATTAATACATGGCTCTGTGGCTGGTATCACCGTCACAACTTTGGGATTTTTGTCAATGGGATGGCCTACGTGACACCAGGCTTGCTGGGGTCAAATGGGATTCGCATTTCTCAAAAGGAGATCATTTTTTTAAGAAACTTTCTCCGATCCTAAATGGGAGCCACCTTTCTCAAAGGGGAAAGAGGGTCTTTGCTCAGGAGCTTGTGGGGCTCATTGACAGGTCTTTAAACTAGATGTGAAGGGGTAGGGGGAACATATCAGGCTTGCCAGTGAAAAACTGTGGGGTGATACTCAATGATTGGAGGGACAGGGTGTTAGTATGGGCCCTCAGCCTGTTACCCAGAGGCGTAGTAGTTACGGCAGGGGCTTTGTCTGGATAACTGCTATGTCACGTCCTCCCCTTTGATACCAATGTGACTTAGAACAAGACCTGTGCAGTGCGCATCCCAGGTGTTCACTTTCATCTCCAGACAATTCAAACCACATCAAACTTGCACAAAACTACAAAACCTTAGCACTGAATTATCGTTATGTCAACAGATGGCCATTCCTGAAGAGGAAGTTTATTCAATACTGCTAACAGCTAAGGCTTTTTATTCGAGTACTAGCTTGAGAGCATCGCCTTCTGTAAGGAACAGGAATAGATCTTTCTGCAGAACTATTTCAGATTGTTCTTCTTCAGAAAAAACCTGAACCTAGTGCAAGTTCTATGTGCACACTCCAAACAATCTGGAAGAAGGGCATTCAGGAGGTAGGACAGTAAGGTACAGAACACATAAAAATCTGGAGGTTTAGATTAGATTTCAGTATAGCAACCCTCTGATTTTCATACACCCATCTGCAGGTTCCTATTGCAAAACACTGAGAAAGCTGGCAGAAACTACCCCCGCGATAATCAAAGTTAAACTACTGTGTGCACATCACTTGTAGCTCACTCACATTTCATCAACACTGTGAAAGAAATGGTCACTACTGGAATAAAGTCTTTGAAGTCTTGCAGAGGTGAGCTGGGAGCTCCTGAGGCAGCAGGAGCCAACAAGGCAGCTTCTGTGAAACACCCCAAGGGAAACAAGGGGTGCTCCTCTATGAAGGGGACACGGCCAACAGCCCGGATGAAATGCCTCTGCACGAACGCACACAGCATAGGAAACAAACAGGAGGAGTTAGGAGCGACCGTGCTGCTAGAAAGCTGTGACCTGACTGCCATTACTGAAACTTGGTGGGACAAAGAGTTATAGGGATGCTGCCTGGTTGTGTAGGGAGGGGGCCAGGAGGACCGAGGTGCAGCTAGAGCTGAACTTGGCAAGGGATGCTAAGAGTAACAAGAAGGGCTTCTGCAGGTGCGTTAACCAGAAAAGGAAGGTTAAAGAAAGCGTACCCCCTGCCAATGAACAAGAATGGCAACCTCGTATCAACAGCTGAGGAGAAGGCTGAGGTACTCAACAACTGTTTTTTGTCCCAGTCTCCAGTGGCAACCTCTCTCCTCGCCCCTCCCGAATCGATGGACTGCAAGATGGGAACCAGAGGGGCAAAGCCCCTCCCACTATAAAGGAAGACCAGGTTCAGGATCACCTGAGGAACCGTAATATACAGAAGTCTGTGGGACCTGACGAGATTCATCCCAGAGTCCTGAGGGAACTGGCTGACGTCACTGCCAAGCCACTCTCCGTGATATTTGAAAGGTCATGGCAGTCAGGTGAAGTCCCTGGTGACTGGAAAAAGGGAAACATTGTGCCCATTTTTAAAAAGGGTAGGAAGGAGGACCCTGGAGTCTACCGACCTGTCAGCCTCACCTCTGTGCCGGGGAGATCATGGAACAGATCCTCCTAGAAGCTATGCTAAGGCACATGGAGGGCCGGGAGGTGGTTCGAGACAGTCAGCATGGCTTCATCAAGGGCAAGTCCTGCCTGACCAACCTAGTGGCTTTCTATGATGGAGTGACTGCATCAGTGGACAGGGGAAAAGCAACAGATGTCATCTATCTGGACTTCTGTAAGGCCTTTGGCGCAGCCCCCCCCAACATCCTCTCTAAATTGGGAAGATACAGATCTGAAGTGTGGACTGTTTGGTGGATAAGGAACTGGTTGGATGGTCACATCCAGAAGATAGAGGTCAACGGCTCAATGTCCAGGTGGGCGCTGCTGACAAGTGGTGTCCCTCAAGGGTCTATACTGGGACCAGTGCTGTTTTAACGTCTTCAGCAATGATATAGATAAGGCCAAGTGCAAGGTCCTGCATATGGTTTGGGGCAACCCCTGCTATCAACACAAGCTGGAGGATGAAGGGATTGAGAGAAGCCCTGCTGAGAAGGACTTGGGAGTACTGGTGGATGAAAAGCTGGACATGAGCTGGCATTGTGCACTTGCAGCCCAGAAGGTCAACCGTATCCTGGGCTGCATCAAGGGAAGCATGGCCAGCAGGTCGAGGGAGGTGGTTCTGCCTCTCTGCTGTGCTCCCCACCTGGAGTCTTGCATCCAGCTCTGGAGCCCCCAGCACAAGGCCATGGAGCTGTTGGAGCAGGTCCAGAGGAGGGCAGCAAAGATGATCTGAGGGCTGGAGCACCTCTCCTATGAGGAAAGGCTGGGAGAGTTCGGGCTGTTCAGCCTGGAGAAGAGAAGGCTGCGGGGAGACCTTAGAGCAGCCTTTCAGTACCTGAAGGAAGCCTATAGGAAAGACAGGAAAAATATTTTTCAGCAGGGCTTGTTGTGACAGGACAAGGAGCAACAGCTTTAAACTAAGGGAGGGTAGATTTAGACTGGATATAAGGAAGAATTTTTTTACAATGAGGATGGTGAAACGCTGGCACAGGTTGCCCAGAGAGGTAGTGGAGGCCCCATCCCTGGAAACATTCAAGCCCAGGTTGGACGAGGCTCTGAGCAGCCTGATCTAGTTGAAAATGTCCCTGCTTGCTGCAGGGGGGTTGGGCTAGTTGACCTGTAAAGGTCTCTTCCAACCCAAAGCATTCTATGATTCAGAAAGACATGTCGCCCCAAGACTTTTCCTAATATGTAGATGGTCCTGTGATAAACGAGTTCATCATCTGGCAAGAGATCACTGAAAGGGGAGGTATAAAGGCCATTCATGGCAAAACTTTCTGAACAGTAGCATGCTGCCAAGTAGTTTCCTTTGGTAGTTAAAACTACATTATTTGCTTCTATTTCTATTAGCACTGACTGCTTTGACCAACTGCTTTTGATGTTAGCTGCTTAAACTGACTTGGCATGTCAATACATGAGCTAGATGAGTTTAAGTAGGTGGTGTGGTTCATGTAGTTGGCCAAAGCTACAACAGGTGGGAATACTAAGCCAGATGCAGCGTGGGTGGGTGCGACTGCACAATCCTTGAGACATGGCAAATGCTCTGTGCAATAAAAAAGACCTTACATATTTACCTAAGAAAAATACGTAGCAATCTAAAGTGAATAATTTTTAGGCATGCTGCTGTATCTTGACAACTACTGCACTGGGAGAAAATTTTGATTTTGTGACTCGGTGGATGACTTGAGGAATACAAACTCTTAAGTTCTTTTTTCTATGTATAGATATCCTGAAGCACACAGAGTGGGCTGTCTTTCTGGCAGTAAAATAATAACTAGCTTACAGTCCGTAGAGGTTGCTACCGTAAATTTTAGAAAGGTGCAATGAAATCCTGAAGAATGCTCTGGAAAAGGCTGCTGACAGCACTGAAAATATGGGAAATGTTGTTTTATCTACATCTAAGAAGCAATGTCTATCTTCTGAAGTACAAAGTGTATTGATCCTGTGAATTTTAGATTAAATGACCTTGAAGCTTAAACTCAGAGCGCTGCTCCTGCAACCTCATACTCCTGGCTTATCTCTTTAATATTTGTTGCCTTCAGACAAGGAGGAGGAAACCACAACTAAACAAGAATAAAAAGGCTTGAAGTACGTCTTTCATTGATGTTTCCATATATACACAGTCTGCCTTTATCTTCTGGGCCATAAATTGCACAGTGTTTTGTCTTCCATAGTCCAAAACACTTGGGTTCTTAAAAACTAATCAAAAGATACTATGTTGTCATGTTGTGGCTCTTATATACTATCTTGCATTTAGTATAAACAGGATTGTGATTAGAGTGAATATCTTCTACTTTTCCACAAAGCACACAAAGTTTTAACAGAGACTGCCAAGTTAATGGGAGTGAAAACCTCTGACATCCCTCAGTTTTTCTTTGATGAATGCATCTCTTGATGAAACATGAACCTAAAATTTAGGTGAAAAAAAATTAAAGTGTGTTTCATGTTCCGCTCATAACCATGTTTGCCTTTTTTCTTCATGGGATAAATAAAGAACTATTATGAGAAGATCCGTTAATTTTTGAATACTAAACTTGTATTTTTGTTTTCTTTGTAGAAGTGACAGTGGTTTACCAAAACGGGTTACCTGTGATTTCTGTGAATCTTCCATCCCGGCGTGAGCGCTGCCAGTTCACGCTTAAACCTATCTCAGACTCTGTTGGTGTGTTCTTACAACAGCTGCAAGCAGAGGACCGAGGAATTGATCGGGTTGCAATCTATTCGGCAGGTACTGCTGTTTACAAATCAGTTGATTTACTTGCTTGCCAGCTGTTTTTATCCAGCCTTTTGCTTTTTAAGTCAGTTTGTTATGGTGTGATTTCTTCGATATTTCTGAAAAAACAGAAGGCAGAAGTGCCATTCCTAGAGTAAGAATGTTGTTAGCAATCCCTGTGTAGTCAGGTTTGCCAAGGAAATTTGACTGTAGAGTGAAGGAGAATGAAAACATTCCTGATGCTTAGCTTACAGACATTAGTCCTAATGGAGATGTTTTTGGTGAGTTTCCTACTATTTAGAAGGAAAGATGCAAGCTGTGGAACCTCTGTAGAGATTCTAATTGGTTTGTAAGGAATTTGGTGTAAAAGGTGGTACAAGGGAAACAGTATCTTGCTTGACTGTGAAAGCTCAGTTACGTTTCGTTTCATGTCTTACTTCACTTTTCTGTTCAATTGCTATATGTCTGCTAGCCACCAAAGCTCTGAAACATTGTTAGGATGTCTTATGAAAGTGCATTCAAAGCAGGTATTTCCTTAAAGTCTTGGCCAGGGAGGGAGGTGTTTGCTAGGTTAGTGATGTCAAAGCTGTTCAAAACCAGAGATTGACATAATTTCTAATGCCACTGGGGAGAGATGAAGGTCACTTAAGTAGATTGTATTGCAAAACATAGTAAAATATTCCAAGTGTGTGGGATGAAGGGAACTGCTTTTTGTCAGATGACATCAAATGTGACAAATACAGAAAAGCAGCTGCATACGTAGCTCAGCTAGTATTTGCCACGTAAGGTCTCCCAGTATATATATCCATCTTGACAAAGAGTATCATTTGTGGGGAAACTGTAGAAGTTCAACAACTGGATTTGGGATTGCATTACAACTTTGCCACAGCATCTTTAGGTACTTTTGTTTCTGCTGTTTAATAAGTCATCTGTGTTTGCCTTACAGATGGCACACGTGTTGCCTCCTCCACAGGCATAGATCTGCTTCTGCTGGATGACTTCAAACTGATCATTAATGATGTCACGTACCATGTTAGACCACCAAAGAGAGGTAAACCAGCCTGGTTGTGGTAAACATCAGAAATAAATTTCAGTATTCAGTTCCCTGTTTAATTGCAGTGTGCTTTATTAACTTGCTCAAGAACATGAAGCCTTATTTCTAAAGGAGATCTTGAAGTTTCTAAACCTGTCCTTGGAGTCTAATTTAGAGATACCCAAGTGACTGGAACAGTCAGTAATGAAAAGCAAATATTCATTCTGCTGAAGGGTAGTAGTCCCCATAAGAGGAATAAATGAAGAAATGTAATTTCTAAATTTTTCTGAATTTTCTTCTAATTACTGAGAAGTTATTTAACTCATTCTGAAGTATTACAATACAAAATGGGAATTAGGTTGAAACTTACATTATCTGACTTGGAAGAATAAATTGTTCCCTCACCTGACAGTTAACACTGTTTCCTTTTAAGTGTGGTACTTTGCATATTGCAAATAAACCTTGAAACCTTGTTAGATAACAAACAGTGAAATAAATGAGACCGTGCTCTTACAAGGTTTTATTACTAAGAATCAAATAGGAAGGGAAGTCCACCTATTTTGAATCAATAAGCAAATCCTTTTCAGTGATGGGCTTTGGGTGTGAAAAGCTTTTGGGACACTCCGAAGTTACTGGAGGAGGCGGGAACTTGGTATTTTCATCTACTGTCTACTCTTCTCCTAGGCAACTTTTTATACACTTCATAAAGCACCTGGTTCTCGTATGTCCGTACTTAACTCTGAGGAGTTAAGTAAAAGGACCAGTTTTGGAAATATTACTCTGATTGTTGCTTGGCTCAGATAGTGGGGGATTTTTGTCTAGCTTATTGTTCTGCTATTGTTGTGAGCAGTAACGTGAAGTTTGCAAGCAGTGTTTTTATAAAAGCAATTTTTAGCCCTGTAGACAGGAAAAGAAATTAGGAAGGATCTGTAACTTGACTTGCATGTCCAGTTGAGCTTAGATGGTGGAAATGCCTTCCTGATTTATCTAGATGTTTTCCCTAGTGTTTCAGACTTCCTCCCTTAGGCCTCTCTTCAAGTAGTTGATCACAAACAAAATCAGTCATAAGGCAAAAGCTGCGAGGGAACTGCTAACGTTCCTTTTACAATCTTCAGCAGCCTGCATAAGACAACAGGCTAAAGGAAGTTGATCTATCAGAAATCAGGAGACTGACCATATCTTTTGGGTCTGAGGCTACCCTGGGTGGCTGACTTCTAGGAAGATCTGCTGATAGATGCCATCCTGCTCTGTAGATGTAGTTAGCTTCCAAGGACCTTTTTGCAAGGAAAATAATAAAAATGTATTGTAGCATTTTATTGTTCACAATATAAAAATGCCAAGTCAAAAAGAAATTTCTGACTGGGGGAATTTTGTGCAGCCACTTATTCTTAGTGTGTGGAAGACTCTGGAATTAGGGAGTGCAGTGTTGGTGAGATGCCGATTCTACCCTGTCTGCGGGTTTGACTGACATCCGCTAGAGATGTTTTTTTCCAATCTCCTTAAAATCAAGTTAACAGAAAACTGTTATAAATCGCTGGATATCATACACACACACAAAAAAAGTTACACTCTGCTCTTTCACCCCACTGCTCTGTGTCCTGAATGTGGTGTTTTCACACACTTATAAGACATTGTAAGCCAGAGAAGTTGGAGGATGTTTTTATCAAGGTATCCCTTCCAACTGTTAGCCCCTGAGAGCAGATGGTGGTGATATCAAGCCCAGCTGGTCTAGTCTGTCATTTTTAATACAATTAGATGAGAATACAAACATGGTGTCTGTTTCTGCACTGGAGAAACTGCTGTCCCAAGGTAAGGCGATTCATACATCCCACTTACCTAATGTTTGAGAGAGCAAACATTAGTTTGCTAATGATGCAGACAAAAGTCTGCATCAGCGAGTCGGCGTGGTTTTGGTTAGCTTGCTTGGATGATATACCCGTTGTGCACTGGTAGGTGAGCTCTGGGATCACCTAGGTTACATGCAGTTGCCACCTCTGATTGATTTGCCAAAAAGATCTCTATAGTTAGCTTGTATTAAAAGGAATGTGCCTGTAAAATAGGCAGTGAGATTAGTTCTGTTAAACTTTTCAGCTATTGCTTTTCCAGTTTTACAAAATCACTGTGTGTATTTTGAAATGGAAGTGCCATAACCCTGTAATATTAAATACTAAATACTTTTTGATGGTCACTTTAGTTGGAATACTTTTTTTTCTTCACAGGGGAACAGGAGCCCCTTTAGCTGGGAGGGGCATGCAGTGTGCTTTCTGTGTGCCTTGGCACAGACAGCCGAGTCACTTCTTTCCCTTGAGCTGCTACTGTTAAAACTTAAGTTGTCCAGAGCTTGTTGTGCTGGTAAAATTGTATTTTGAGAAGATAACCTAAGGTACAAGCCCAAGGATGCTACAAAAATTAAGTCTTAAAAATTTATTTCTTTATTTGGTTAATGTCAAGTTCTGTTGCTTTAGTTTGAAACTTGTGGTGGATTTTTTTTCCCATATGGAGTGTGGAATACAGTACCACTAGTCACAGCTCTTTTATTTCATCTAGGAATCCTTTTTGTGTTAAAATGCAGGGATAAAGGCAGTTTCAGTTAGTGGCCCTGTTACTGTCTGTATTTAAATACTGTGAGGGAGAATTTCATAGCCCTGTAGGCAGCACAGCAGGAGGTTGCCTACAGAGTGTTGGGAAACAATTCCTGACTTTGGTACTCAGAATAATTATCATAAGACTGCATGTTCTGGGGTAACTAACCCAATATCTTCAGTTGCCGTCGTCGATAACTGTTGTTGCTGATGGTCTGTTATCTGAATTCTGGCTGTTTCTTGACATCTGGTGTGATGGATCGTACTACTTTAGTTGTTCTTTTGTCTTCATTAAGTCTTGTATATAAGTATGGATCAGAAGCAGCTGTTGATATCTTGCAAGGTAATAGCATGTATCTCTTTTCCTTGTTCTTATCAAACTTTAGGAATATCCAATAATAAAGACGGGTTTTCTTTTGAAGAAATTGCATTGTCTTGGAGTGATGGAGCTCTTCCAAAGGCTTCTTGGTTTAGAAGATAGTTTTGTGTGTTTCCTGTGCAGGCTAATAGTGGTTTCTGAAGAGTATGTAAGAAGTTCTGTGGATAAATGCATATAAAGCAGTCTCTTTTTTCCCTAGAGCTCTTAAGCCATGAAAACGCAACGACGCTGAATGATGTCAAGACACTGGTTCTATTTGTATACCGCCTTGTGCATTGAGGAGCACCAGCTGAACAAAGAGAAGGAGCTGATAGGGAGACTAGAGGAATTGAAGGAGCAACTAGCACCACTAGAAAAAGTGAGAAGTTTCTTATTGTATTTTACTTATCCTCCAAATGCAGCCTTAATTTATTTCAAGGTTTTAATTAGGTCCCTGGCATGCTTCAAATAGTTTAAATTCACTGAAGTCTAAGATGCACTAATGTCTGTTTCTGCTTTCTGTGGAAGTATTTTTGTTTCCTTTATGTAATTGGAAATGAGCTTAGTAGTAAATAAAAACTGAGGCTAATGCAACAGAACATCTCTGAACATAGAGAAATAAGCAGCTTTGCAAGGTATCCAGAGCATCCTCCTAGGGAAGCTCAGGAAGTGTGGGCTGGATGAGTGGTTGGTGAGGTGGATTGAGAACTGGCTGAATGGCAGAACTCAGAGGGTTGTCGTCAGCAGCGCTGAGTCTAGTTGGAGGCTGGTAACTAGTGGTGTCCCTCAGGGGTCAGTACTGGGCCCAGCCTTGTTTAACTTCTTCATCAACGACCTGGATGAAGAGTTAGAATGTACCCTCAGCAAGTTTGCTGATGACACCAAACTGG